CCGCACTCGCCTCCACTGCCCACACTGCCCTCGCACCTTCAGGCATCGCATGGGTCTATTCGGCCACATGCGCATCCACGAGAGCGGAATTGACCACAATTCCGATACAGCCACGCCATCCAACACATCCACCACGCCCAGACCCAACCTCGCTCCACCGTCACACGCGTCGACCAACACCAACACCGCCACCACCACCAACACCACTGCTTCCTCTACAGCTGACACCGACACCGCCAACCTCTCATGCCCACATTGTCCACGCACCTTCACCTCACGCATCGGCCTGGTCGGTCACTTGCGAATCCATCGCACAGAGACTGGCGAACCAGTGCCTGGAGCACCAACCTACACCCACCGCACTCGCCTCCACTGCCCACACTGCCCTCGCACCTTCACGCATCGCATGGGTCTATTCGGCCACATGCGCATCCACGACGACCTGCGGTAGACAACCGCTGGTCACACCACACATTCCCTCACTCCCTACCTCCCAACACCATCCCCCCACCAGACATCAACCCTCACACACCTCATGCACTCAACTGCCGCCTCCCACGCAAGTGGGAAGTGTGCATCTCGACTCGGTCCCCATGCGGTTTCGGCTGCACGGGTGACTTGTGTCCGAGACTATCCCGACACTTCAAGTGTCGTGGATAGGAAGGTTGCTGATTGAGGCCCGCACTCGATTCACGCAGCTCGTCACGTTGTGTGTGTGTGTTGTGTGGAGTGGTGGACTGGTGGGCTGGCGACGGGCTGAAGCAGCACCTTCCACGGCCCTCTCACGCAAGTGAGAGACACGCCGTTCTGCCCCCGTTGTGTGAAATCCTGGTGTTTGTGTGTGTATGGGGGGCCAGGTCGTGCTGTGGCGCGGGCAGGCATGGTCAGTCGACCATGTCAGCCACCGCGCCCATTCCTCACTCCAGTCTACTGACCGGCTCGGACAGTGGCTGGGGTGTGGGAATGGGAAGGGAGAGTGAGGTCGACGACTCAGCGCACTTTCTCCTCACTACAATCAATCTGGCGCGCTTGAAACTATCACGGTGCGCTAAAAGCCGTGGCTTGGAAGGTTGCCAACTGACGGGGTACCTTGGACCTCCTCCTTAACGGGAGGCGGTCTGAGAGTCAGGCTGCAATGGCTCCTTTTTAATGTGGCCTTTATGGCATTCCCACCACAGTGTGGGATCCGAGCCAGGCGTTGGCGGCACGCCCAGGTGCGGCTTCGGTCGTGCCAGCCTCCAAATCTCTGTTGTGTTGGTTGAAATCCTGGTCATTTGTTGTGTGGACCAGGGGGTGTGGTGGAACGCCAAGGTGAGGATCCGTCCGAGCCATCCACCTGTGGCCTCCCCCGTCTCCGGTCTTCTTGACTCTGTCTTGACACCGGGCCCAGGCGGGGGAGGAGGAGAGAGTGTAGGTAGATGCAGCGCAATTCTACCGGCACTATAAACCCCTGCGCAAGTCACCGTCCCTGCTCCCACCGCTGCTGCAGCTGTGGGGCACACGGTGGACATCGTCGAAATCGACGGTCGAACTGTCGTGTGTGTGTGTGTGTGTGTGTGTGTGTGTGTGTGTGTGT